GACAGGAATTCCCTTGGAAGCCCTTATCTCCTACTCCTGCTGCACTCATGGATAGTGAGAAAAACCCCTGAATCTGATTTCTCCAAAGCAAGTTTTTCAGACCTGCTGGAGCACAGTTATGAGCCTGGTTAAAGTGAGTTCAAGTTAATTCCTGCTGGTGCAGAGGAGGCTGTAGCCCCTTTTTCCACCATGACTGCTCCAACATGAGGATCAGGCAAGTTTCTAGATGAGTTAGGAACTGAGACTTCCAGCAAACTTAAATGATATGTAAAAAGCAAATAAATTTACTGAGTTCTTGGAATTTTTTGAGAGAGCATTATAGATTCTTTCCAAAAAAAAAAAAAACAAATGCCTTCACTCTATCCTTAAAAATAGTGAATTAGATGGGTTGTTAGGTGTTTCCTCTTTTATTTTCCATTTTAATAGCAACAGTCTGCAAAAAGGTCTTCTAAGTGCATCAAAGCATCAACCCATATTCCCTTTGTAGCTCACTTTCCACGTGAAATAATAATTATGAACTTTTGCTGTGTTTTGTGTAAATGAAGGAAACTGAAATATGAAACATTACCAACATCAAAACAAAATCAATATATCCCCTGAAAATGCTTCTAACAAACAAGTTTTCAGAAAGGTAGGTGTGATCTGTAAGTGCAGGGAGCCAAAAGCCCACTCCATGAGCAGGATCTGAACAACCTTAACATCCTCTGAACTAAATGCTGAATCAAAGATTAGAACTTAGCAAGAAGCCAGGGCTGTTCTTCTGGGGGTTTTCAAGAGATTGGTTCATTTGCAAAGTTAAAAACCAGGTGGGCATAGTCAGGATGCTGATTGCATTCCTCCCAAATTTCACATTATTTTCTAAGTGTTTAAAATAAAAACATTCTACATCTTTCATTAGAAAGAAGGTGGGGTTTTTATTGAGTTTGCTCACTAATGTTGATGGTGTCAGTAGCTGAAAACTCCAACAAAGCAAAGGCAGAGCTTTAAGAGCTCCAAGCTTTACCCCTGCCTATCTACAGTGTGATTGTGACAGCTCATTCTCGTTCCTCATGAAGTACAGGCTCTCAAATCCTCCAGCTTTGTTGGGTTTCCAGAAAGCATCACAAAGTACTCAGAACACAATTAATCCTGACATCTGAATAGACATTCCAGAGTCAACCCTGTTCAAGCCAAATGAAAGAGAGATTATAATGCAATGATGGTAGCTGCAAACTTTGGTTTCCATCAGGAAAAGCAGCTTCAATAACAAAAACTACTTTCTAAGATGGAGGGAGGAGTAACAAATGGAAATTTCATTCAAAATTAGCAGCACAATATACAGTTTGGTTCAGAATCAAGATTTATGTTTCTAGGACAATCAATAAGGTTAAATTAAAAGCACTGAGTAGACTTACAGGAATGCTGCACAATAGGGGTTATGATTAGCATTTAAAACTCTGCATTTAAACATCTGAAATCTTTAAGTTGCAGAAAGTGTGCATATGCTTGTGAAATTTATTCTACTACCTGGTCATATTCCAGTGCTCCTGGGTACAGTGGCCATCCAAGAAACAGCTCTGCAATCACACACCCTAAGGACCACATGTCTATGGCTTCACAAAACGGCAACCCCAGTATGATCTCTGGTGCTCTGCAAATTAAACATGGTTACTGAAGTTTTTCTCCTTGGGGAAGAAAGGTCATTCAACAATCCAACATGACAACAAAACAAAACAAGACAAAAAAAAAATCTGGTTTTTGATGTTTATTTCAATAAAATCATAGCATCGGAAATTGCATTTTTATTTATCTAGGTAACCTGTGGTGATATTTTGCAACTCCAAGATGTTTTTTTTTTACTAAAAGTACAAGTTTGCTATGTACATGAAAATAACTGATATGCCTGGAAAACAATGTCCCAGAGTCAGAACTTTTGCCTTTCCTCCAGTATTTCTCAAATGAGTTATCCACTCAATGTCATATGTCTGTAACTATATTCCAAATACATTAGTCTTTTATCTCAAAACAAAAAAAACCCAACTAGAAGTTTTATCTGAAAATCCACTTGCACACTTCTCAACTGTACAGTACAATTAAAGCAATTAAAAATATCTATTTAATTACACAACTGCAAATCCCTTAATGTACTCAAATCAGTTGAATGTGATCAATTTTTAAATCAATTAAATGAAAGCACTGCAGTTGCTAAACAGAGCAGGTGTTATTTTTCACCTAAAACAAATGTGAATTATTTAACCAATACCATCTGAATTTATGTCTGCACTCAAGAACCAGAAAAATTGGTATTGACACAGCTGCTGAAGGGGCTTTTAACATTTCTGTTCACGTGGAATGGAACTCAAGCATTTCACAAATATCCATTTCCATTGGATCTGTCCTTTTAAAACCTTCCCTCCCAACTCATTCAAGCTATTAACAAAAGGAAAAAGAATTTATTCATATCTGCATTCTAACAAGGAAAGATGCCTGGAGATGTAAAGTATTATTTAAAGCACCACACTATAAAGCACCACACTTTTAAAGGAGACAATCTGTTGTTCACTTAGCATGTCACAGAACAGTAGGAAGGGTAAAAAACAAAAAAGAACCAAGAGGGAAATTCCCATTACAGCTGGGCAGAACAGGAGTATCCAACTGACCAGGCAACATGGGATTTCTCACCTGGGTAAAAGCTCACAAATCTTGTGCTTCAGCGCATCCTGGCTTAGTCTATTGACACTCCACACACAAAACAGACTCTGATCATAGTAAATACCTACATATCTCATTCTCCTCTGACATTTACCTTCATCTAAATACTTAAATTACTGACAGGTACTCAATTGGGAACAAATTCCTGGTTTTATGCTACATTGGGACGGAGAAGCTATCTTATAGCTGTAGAGCAGCCCTAGAGCCAAAGCACTTCCATCCATTTTCACAAGGGGCAGTTGGTAGAATCTCAACATGGACATATTTCAGGCTCCAAGGATGCACATTCACCACCAGGGAAAGGACTCCCAATGCTCAGCCCCATCTCTGACCACTGAAGCCATTCATGCTTCTGCCACAGGGAAAATCCAACAATTTCTATGGATAAGAAAATCTATAGGACATGATATTCTGTAAAATAATTATGTATTTTCCATTCACACTAGCACTTCAGTTCTCCCCATCCTTGCCACAAACCATTTTGGGTGTGATTTTACGAAGGCTAAATCTTGTCAGACCAGCAGTGAAACTGGAGAGGCTCAGTTTTCCAGCTGCCTCCAAAGATTTGGCTACAATAAACTTCTGGGGATCAAACAGACGTATTTTTGCAATGCAGGATCGTGACACTGCAGTAAGTCTTGGCTAGTTTTGTTATCCAAGAAATCAGTTCAATATCTCTGGATGCCACAAGACAGAAATAGCATTGAGAAACGTCTGCCTTCCCCCGCTGGATGGGTGCCAGTCTGCCTATGGTTGTTACAGATCTGTGTTAAAATACACTTCCTTTTGTTGTATTATGTTACAGCCCTGAATAGTTAATGAATATACACACAGCCTATGGATACAGGGGCTTTAACAAATGCTCCTGCTAAAATAAGCTCTGGAAAACCTCTTAGGTTTACTCAATGGTTAATATGTGCGCCGTACAAAAATAGCCGCAGTCCGTCGGTCTGTCGCGCGTCCCCTCGGAGAGACGGGGTCACAAAAGAAGGATGGGGGTAGGAACAATGCCAAAAGAAACAGCAAGAAAGGAATGCTTGCTGCATTTCAAAATGCAGTAATCTGTTAGTTTTTCCACAGAGAAAAGCACTAATAAGTAAGTCTAAGGAAAGGGGAGGTATTTCAGGAGAGGAGAAGTGCTCCTCCTTGCCAACACCAGACCTACCATCGAGGAAGGGAGAGGAAATAAAAAGTGCTCCTGAGCACAGCTCCCTGCACCATCCTGCAGCACAGGGAACAAAAAACATTTTCAGGACAGCTTGTAGAGAGGAAGATGAAGAGCTGCTGCTCAATTTCGCCTACCACATCTCGTGTTAGTCCTTAAAATGGAGCAGCTTTCTCACAGCGAATTAAGTTTCATGAGAACTGTAACCGAGCTTGGTTATGTTTGGAGTGCTCTTAACCAGCTCAAATATTTTTGTTAAATGAAAGTTTGTTAATGCCATGCTCAAAAACACCTGCTTCTGTTTCTCCTTCTTTTAATCTCCCTGTTAAAAATCTGGCTGGAGAACTGGAGAGAAAAGTGTTAAAATGGAGAGAAGCATTCTTCAATTTTTATTTTTAAGATGATCCACAGCTTTCTCCTGTAAGGAATATTTCACCATGCACTTCAAAGGAAGGTATTCCCTTTCCTAACTACAGCCATAGTCTCCAGACACTCAAAAAGCAGTGTAGCTTAGTGCTTCTCTCTCTCAGAACAGCACCAGACACACAAAGTCCTGACTGGTTTTTCCTGCAGATCACAGGATGCTCAGGGCACCAGAAGATACCACAGTCACCTCAGCAAACAACACCTGCTAGCCCAGACCAAGACATCAACAAGGAAAACACCAGAACTTCCTAAATTTCTTAAGGACATTGAATCTTACTTAAATGTATTTTAATTAAAAGCAAGATTTTAGAGAGAAAGCACCAATTTTCCTTCTTATCAGTGTTAGTTACACTTTTATTAAAAACATCATAAAACAGCACAGCTTAGACTTTGCAATTAGAAAGATCTATAATTATGAAAGACACAAGTGAATATTTGCTTCAGCTGTTTGTATGGATAGTCACATTTCTATTTATTACATCACAGACCATAAATACATATGCTATCCTATAAGTTTTGTAAGCTTATGAGGAAAGAAATCACACAATTTGTTCCATTCACTGTTCAAAAACCAGAATATTTCATAAAATAGTTTAGCTTCAGCACGTTAGCCAGCTTGGAATAAAGCAAAAAAAAAACCAAACAATTTGAAGAAAAATTAGATAGTTCCTTTATGGAGGATAAAAATAAAACCAGAAAACAAACCCCAAGCAAAAACTTGCTAAAAAAAAAAAATCAAAACTGTGGCATAGTAATAGAAAATTTCTACCAACCCTGACACTGGGGGAACAAAGAATGAAGAGCAAGAATTACCCACACCACAAAAAAAATCTGTAAGAAGCCAAACCATTTCAGATGATCATTACCTAGAAACCATTGGTTAGAAATCCAATTTAGAACAGAAGTTACACGAAAAAGCCACAACCCAACAGTCACTGTACAAAGTAACAACTGAAGAACAGCACAAAACAATAAGCAGCTTCCCAGAACTGTACTTTCACAAAAAATTCAATTAAATATGAGAATAATTTATCAAATATATTCCCACTGAAGGTCCTGTAACACAGCCACGCTGCACATAACCCCTGAGAGATCAAGGAAATGAGACTAAAGATGAGAAATTTTTATTTCTATTTTCCTGGCAGTGTGGGAGGGTCAGTGGATGGACTGCTGATCACAGCACTGATTTATTTACTGACCACTCTCCAGAGTGGGGAGTATAGAAATAGCCTTCCTGCCCTCCAATTTCATTACACCTCTATTTACCTCTGTCTGTGCTGACAGTGCCCAATAATTACCTACTCTGGACAAACATAATGTCACCCTGATAAGAAATACTCATGCAAGGAAGCCATCAAAAGAGTGGGATGTTAATTTTTTATTATTTTTTTTTTTTAATGAGCTGGTGAAAGTCCTGGTATGGAGAACTCATGTAAATGAATCCAATTTGCAAGAGTTAAAGTAAAACAGATTACCAGCCTGAGAACACCTCTTTCCTGCTGCCAACATGAGCACAATGCAAGCATTTCCCTTCTGAGAGGAATAACCACACTTGGGTTGTGAGATGTGCAGTTCTTCTCCCAAAGAAAGGAGGCCTAAGAGAAGGATCAGATGCAGTGAATTAATGAGAGATGGCAGTGGGCATTCTGATGAGTTTTCTCATGTACAATTCCCTCTCTTCAGCTTTACCACGTGGAGCAATGCAAACCTTCCTTCAAGATCTGCAAGAACACAGGAAAGACTCTTGGCTGGAGGGAGCAAAATCAAGGTGGCAATGCCCAAAAAAACTCCCAGGCAAGTACACTTCAGTAATCTGAAGGATGAAATGGGAAGGAGCCATGAAATGACAAAACCTGGAAATGATGAAGGATATAAAGATCAGTTTGCTCTATAGAGGATTCATGGTGGTCTTTGGAAGGAATTTTAAATATGCAATTAAATCAATACAACAACAGGAAGTAGAGCATACACGGTGTACAGAAAACCATAGTGAAAATTAATGTACCATATTCATTAATTAATTACCCAGAAGAAATTATGTTATATATTAACCAACTTTTCCATGAAAAATCTAGATAACTTTACAGATTAGTCAAGAAAAATATTTTACAATTGGGAGCAAAAATTAATCAGGACATCAGTATTTATTTTTAAAAGGACAAAGACATATAAAAAAATATTATGTCTTATATAAAACTAGTGATATTCCCTCACCTTGAATAGTGTGTGCTCACTTTTGAATTCTGGGTTCAGTTTTGGTCACCCCCATCTGAAAAAGGATACATCAAATAGAAAAGACGCAGAAAAGAACAATAAATAAATAAAGACTTGAAGAGATTTGGGTACAAGAAGAAACCCTGGTTAGAACTATAAAGCTTCAGGGAAGAATGAATGATCAGTAACATTACTCAAATTATATAATAAATAAGGGAAGATAAACAGACAGGTGTTTCTAATGCCCTGCCTCACTCTAGAAGACCAAGGAATCCCCCACCCACTTTGAGATAAAGACTGATGTAAATATAAAAGCGGATTTTTAAAGCCAGAATTACAATTACTCTCAGAATCACAGGTCACTGTTGAGATAAAAAATATTAGGAGTATTTAAGAATGAATAAACAGGAGAATATCCACAGGGGTTCTAGATTATACAGTAAGGGTTGAATGCATGAGAAGAAAAACAGCCATCACTTGTGTAGAGCTGTAAGAAAATTGCATCAGAAGACACTGAAGTACAACCTTGTGCTACAGTAAATTTTCTCCTAAAGACCAGAACACACAGACTGTTGATCTGAGAACATGTGTGCATCTCAAAATCACTATTCTTACACAAATATAGGAGTTACCCAAGCAAATCCAAACTACAATCTTCTGTACAATCTTCTAGTCTCTACAATCTTCCTCATGGAAATAATTGTTACTTGCCATTTGGTTAAAGAATTATATCAGTAAAATTTATAGGCATCTTTAAAATAGTTACGTTACACATAAAAAAATCACTCAGCTGCACTTCCTGAGAACACTTTTATAGTTGAGTCTCTTGCTTTTAAGCCCACTGAGATGTCAGAATGCAGACTGGCAGTGTCGTGTGCTAACACACATTTGATCTCAGAAATTCAGGTGTGGTAGACAAACCCAGACAACGAGCCTTCCTCCCTATTCTTTGGAACACTGCTGCAAATCAATAATGAAAAACTGAATTCTACATTTACATTCACACTCCTGGCTTTTGTAGTTCTCTAGGGTTCTTTTAACTCTTTTATGATTAGGCATTAGGAAGTACATAAATAGCAAACTCTGATGGGGGGTATTGTTTTTTAAACTCTAACCATGCAAGAGAACTTGGAAATCAAAAATATAAGTGCTCAGACACAGACACAGTAAATGTTAGCACAGCTGCATAGGGGCACCTTTGTCTTTGAGGTAGCAGGAAAGACTCAATCCCACCACGGTCTGCAATTCAAGGTTATGTCACCACACACCTTAAAATACAGTGAGAATAATTATGTTCAAGCTGATATGGGAAGTTACCCCCTCATTCCTAGTTTTATTTCTCCTTTGAAAGAGTTTGGTTACATGGGAAGTGGTAGTGAAGACACAGAGAAATCAGTTCAGTCGCTGCATCCCCTGTAAAATCCTATGGCCACAGTATGAGTTTTTCTACCCCAAAACAATAAAACCTCATTTTTGTCTAATAAAACAAATATAACTGTGTGTGCTCAATAGCTAGAAAATACCTACTTTCCCTCAGAACTTCCAAGTGATTTTATATATATATAAATATATATATAAATAAATATATAATGTACAAGACTGCCATGCAGCTGCCAGTTTAACTTTGAACCCTGATCCCTTCAGTAAAAATTCTTTAGAACTTATGGCTCATAACTGAAGGGGGAAAAGAAAATTCAACAAGAAATTAAATGAGACAAAAAATTAAATCCTAGGTAACTCCCTCAAATAATAAAAAAATCACAAGTAAACTATCCTAGATATTTTTCCTGATACTGTAACACAATTTTGTTTTAAAAGAGCAAGCACAAATTTTAAGCTGATATACTTTCTCTAACCACTTATCAAAAATGCTGAAGATAATAATTTAGTTATTCCTGTTTGATTTATTCAGATGAAGATAATAAAACAAGTGATTTCAGCAGACTCTTTTCCAATTATCTACTATCTCTCATGAAAGGAGGAGTTGATTTTATTAAAACCAGATGTTTATGCTTCTGCCTTTTCATGATTTTGATTTTCCTTGAAAAGACTTACCGAGTGATTTATTTATACACTTGATATGTTAAGCAGTTTTTGAATTACATTAAAATTAAGCAAAGTAGATACTGATGTAGCAACAGAATGCACAAAACTGTGTAGATATAAACTCTTCAGATGCTTTATTGATAAAAATAAATTTCGGATAGCAAAGTGTCACTGTTTTAAGTGTCAAATGAGGTTACTTACCAATAATTGAATTTGGAAAATACACTTTGTAGGATTTACTCCTAACTGTGGGACCACCCTGCACTGCTTTATCCTTTATCCACTGCTCAGAATTTGCAAGAGATGGTCACACACACATCGCCTCTGCCCAGAGAAGGAAAACATTAAAAAATCTTGTACAGAGGCTTTGTACAAAACAAAGCCCTGAGGTGAGCTGCTGAATTGTCCAGAGTATTTCTGAGGAAAACCAGGCTTGAAATGATCTTGTTTGGAATAGTGACTGCAGTCATGGCAAGCACAAGGAGCTGCAGAAGGCCAAGCAGTTGGGGCTGTTGGCAACCACGAGCTGACCTCCACCCAAGGAGAGGATCAAACACAGATTTCCAGCTCTGGAGGAGGACAAGAGAAGAGCACAGCGTGGGATGTTTCAAGGCCTCACAGCTCAGACATGTTAGAACTTAATTCCCTCCCCACTTTGTTATTGTTGATCCTGTGGGAAGAACAATTTCTGACTCTGTTATAAGGGTCTGCATGGACTTGCAGTGCCCAAAACAGGTGAAGAACAGGTAGAGAGTTCTACAGAAGAGTAAAAAGCACAGCAGGATTTGCTTGTAGCATCCTTGTCGAGAATGCCAAGGTCTTGTGAGTCAGTTTTCTGCAAAGGCTTTTTGTGTTTTAACCTTGATGACAACAGTCCTACGACTGGACTGAGGGTACAAAGCTACAGTGGTGCTAAAGAAGCAACCAGACAGATCCTGCTGGAAAAACATCCCCAGAAGGCAATGGAAAGAGGAATTATGTTCTAAAATGACTGATTAGCATGAGGATGTCTATTACTGATATAGTTCACATTAAAAAAAAATAAATTAAAAAAAAAGAAAACACAAGGACGTTGCTGTTATGTCAAGAAATCAAGTGAATCATAACATATTACTTTATTTTAGTCAACTATTAGAAAAAAAAAAACAAAACAAAAAAATCACCCCACAAAAATATCCCCAAAACAATACCAAAAAAAAAGTCTAACCTGAAGACACAAAGGAAAATTTCTTCCATTCCTCAGCAAAACTTGTAAAAATGTTTGCCTTCCCACACAGAGCAACAAGAAACCTGCAGATCTGCAGCTCAGCCCCAAAGTTCAACAAACCATGAAACTACTGAACTATTTGATATCATTTTCCAGCATGAATCTGTTGCACAGCAATTCTCCAGGCAGGCACATTGCACTGGAGATGGACACACCCCACAGATATTGCAGAGAGTAAGAAAATCTGCTCACATCCTTGTCCATTGTGCAAAGGATTTTTTAAACTGCTGATATGTGCTCATCTGGGTGATGCAAAGTGATGTTCTGGTGAAATTTTGCAACTCAGACTGGTAAATTTTGATTTCAAATTGCGTTGTTTAAATTATAGAAAGCTCACCAAAAATTAGAAGGGAAAAAAAAGTTTTAAAAAATTAATCTTAGAAAAAAAATCAGTATTTTCATTACAGATAATTTATGTAGTGATACTGGATTATAAAAAACATTGTCAAATCAAGATTCAACAGTGGCAACATGATAAATAGAGATGGTAGGCTTGTCAAAGCTGTTTAATTTTGAAAGACAAGCAACACAGACTTTTAGAAGAATCCAGTATTTTTTTTAAAAAATTATCTATTAATAGCAATGTGATCACTTAGAATTCAAATATTCAAAGCACTTACAACTTAAACAATAGTGCCATGCAAAATGTCGTGTATTGATGCCTCAGCTTCACATTGGAGATTCATGTCCTGTTCACTAAATAAGTGGAACCCATTTCATTTTGGATACTCCCCTATATAAAGTGTTATATAAACACTTAGTACCTATGCCAGGCTGCTAAATTAAACACAAAAATTAGAAAAAAAAGATTAAAAAAAAAAGTTATGGCAGAAAACCTACAGAGCAGCAACTGGGGCAGATGAATTAACACACATGAAATTAAATCTGCTTTCTCAAGGTTACACTAGTAGAGACCTTTTGGTGAATAAAAATACATTTTTTAAATGTTTCTAGGTACTAAATGTTCTGCTGGATTCATACCCAACACTTCCATGTCTGGCTCAATGTCCTGTGGGAATCTGTAACTTCCACAGAACGCTGCAGAAAAATACACCCAACACACGGCACAAACCAACACTTAACAACCTTAATTTGAATTTGAATGCTGCTGCAGTAATTTATGCTGCTCTGGCTGACTTGGCAAGTTTCTAGCACACAAATTTCTATGATTAGACCCGTGGTGTAAATATGACACCACCAGAACAAGTCTCCTCCTCACCCATGGCTTAGCAATGCCACTAACACATCCATGGGGAAACACAGCAGCACCTCAGCTTTGGGGCAAGACACAAAAACACCTGGTAATAATGTTCTGACAAAGCTAAGAAATTATTTAAAAGTTGTTTTTTCCCCTTCCCTGATGAATTTAACCTATGGACTGCTAATGAGGAAAACTACACAAGTCTGTTTTGGTAGGCTTGACTGTTAGAACCTCAGCTTTCCAGAACATCCCATCATCAGCCTGCTGAAAGAATCCAGGTGCAATGGTCCCTCCAAATGTTTCATCCCAGCCTTGAACCCCACCAGCTGGTTTTTCACTCTTATTTTTCTCCTCAGATGCTTTTTCCTCTCAGTTTTTTTTCCTATTTTTCCTTCCCTATTATTCCGTTTTAGTTTATTTGTCCTTTCCTGTTGAAAGGAGAGCCTGCCTATTCTTAGAAGAGTTTTGGATCCTAAAATAAACTGCTTAACTATGTATCTATTACATTCAGAACTGATGTCACATCAGACCCTGACAACAT